ACCAGGCTGGGTGGGATGGGGCTGGGCCCGACGGGCTGGACACCCCCACGACGGGCCCCGGGGGACCCGGGAAGAAAGCCGACGAGCTCCAAGGTCGGAGGGGCCCCACGCATCTGAGTCAAACGTCCGGGCGACCTTGGGCTTCAGAGGCCAAGGTTTAAGGCTGGCTGCTCTGCGCTCCCGCGGGTGCGTGATGGCCCAGGGCGGGTGCAGGACGGCCCAGGGCGCTGGCCCTCAAGGATCCTGTCTGGCTGCCAACTCCTTGCTTGCAGAGCTAGCTGGGCACGTGGTTCCCTCCGGTGTTGCCATGCCACTGCTCTCCTCTGCCCTTCACCCCAAACACCCTGGCTGGGCCCTGGAGGCCCCCAAAGATGCCCAGGGCTCTCTGGAGCCTGCAGTTTTCGCCTTTTCTGACCAGCAGTTTGGCTGGTGCCCAGAGCCTGAGGGCAGTTGCAGTAGGCTCAGTCCTGGACACTTTGGCCTCACACTACCATGAGCTGGAGGTCAGATTCCCCTCCCCCAGAGCTCAAGCCCTGGCCTTGGCTTTGGTCTAGCCCAGTGGTTGGCAAACTGCGACTCGCGAGCCACATGCGGCTCTTTGGCCCCTTGAGTGTGGCTCTTCCACAAAATACCGGCTCTTCCACAAAATACCCACTTCTGCGCATGGGCCACAAAGTTTCAATCGCACTGTACGTGCGCGCCCGCACGTGGTATTTTGTGGAAGAGCCACACTCAAGGGGCCAAAGAGCCGCATGTGGCTCGCGAGTCGCAGTTTGCCAACCACTGGGCTAGACCAAGGAGCCATAAGCCTTCTTTTTTCTAGAAGGGGTGCCCTGAGATCTGGAGAAATTCTCCAGTTGGGCTTTTTAAATCCCCACAGGTCTGAAGATGCATTCTTAGTGGTCCTCACGTGCTCTCAGGGATTTTTTTATATTGGGTTTCTACTTCAATAATGATTATAAAAAATAATATAAGCACATTGTGGATTAACTTCATGACCTCCTTAAAAATACAGTTGTGCCCTCTAATCCCCAGAGGCAGTGCTGAGGAGGAGGGTGCTGGCAAGGGGCACTTCCCAAGTTGAGGACCAACAGCCTCTAAAGTTGGTCAGGAGGTCAGGGATGTGTGTGTGGGGGGGGCGACAGTGGGGGAGTTGTCCCTCAGCCTGCCCCTCTCCCTCAGTTACAGGCCTCAAATGCCACAGGTGGAGGCATCCTTTGGGGACCCTTCTGAGCTGAGTTGACACTTTGGGGCTCTATCCTAGAGAGGAAAATGTTCTAGGCCAGTCACTGGTGCCTCCTGGGGAGAGAAGTGAGCGGCTTTCAGGGCTGCTCCCACCCCCCAGGGGAAGAAATTAGGTACAGGTGTGTAGCTACCTTCCCTGGGACCAAGGCTGTGCTGACAGCCTTGGTCTTCACAGCCCCCTACTCCCCAGGGGAAGAAATTAGGTACAGGTGTGTAGCTACCACTGGTCACCCAGTCAGGTAGCTTGGGGCTGGAATGGCCCAGGGTGCTCCCCACCCTCTTACCTAGAGAAACTATCACCTTCCTCTCCATGTCCCGCCTGCTGGGGAAGGGTGTGGGAAAGAGTACAGAGCCCGTAAAACTCCCAGGAGGCCTCGCCTCCGTCTTCAGCGTGCCCTGAGCCAGTGGGCACAGGCAGCCTGCCAAGTCCCCGGCCAGAAGGGTGCTGACAAGCTGGACCTGAGGGAGCTGGGCCGTCCACACAGGGTGCAGAGTGATGAGCAGGAAGAGAGTGTGCTGGCTGTGCTGGTTGCCCTTGTCTCCTAGGTCACTCCCCCTCCCCTGAACTGCCCGCTATCGTCCCTGTGGCCTTAAGGAGCCCCACTGGGAGGTCAGCCAGCCAGCTGTCCTATATAGGAGGCGCCCCGACCTCTACTGCACCTTCTCAGGGGGCCGTTCTCTAAAATGCCTCTCCCCTGACTTCCCGCCCACCTTCCCTTTTTTCCTCTGCAGAGCCTTTTTACTACTCCCCATCCTTGCCCCAACTTGCCCTGGAGGGAGGAGGTGTTGCATCCATTCTGCAGGCCTGGTGCTCTGCAGATGTTCACAGTGTCTGACCCACTAAACCAGCGGTTCTCAACCTGTGGGTCGCGACCCCTTTGGTGGTCAAACGACCCTTTCACAGGGGTCGCCTAAGACCATCCTGCATATCGGATATTTACATTACGATTCATAACAGTAGCAACATTACAGTTATGAAGTAGCAACGAAAATAATTTTATGGTTGGGTCACAACATGAGGAACTGTATTTAAAGGGCCAGAAGGTTGAGAACCGCTGCAAATGGACAGGCTTGGGTTCTAGCTGGTCATGGGTGTGGGTGGTGAACAGGCCACATGGGTCTGTACTTCTGACAAGCTCTCCCTCCCAGCCAGAGGCAGACAGGAGAGAGGTTATATCAACTGCTGGGAAGAAGATAAAATGGGGCATGTGGCCACCAGAGGTCTAGGGGCAGACAGTCAGGCAGGTGGGGAGGGGGCTTGGGACCTGTACTGAGCTGTAGGCTTTGGGGTTAGATAGATGTGCAGTTAAGCCTGATGCTGCTACCCATCACGGCAGGTGACCTTGGACAGGTCACTTCCTTTGAGCCCAGATTCTGGGCTGAAAACCGGTGCGAGGTCTACCTGGGAGGCCTCAGAAGGGATTAGGTGAGAAGATGCCCCTGTTGGTGCTAAGCAGAGACTTGGGTGCTGTGGGCTGGAGCTTGCCGGTTGGCAGTGTCCCTGGGAGCAGGCACGGGGTGGCCTTCATCCATGGAGCACATGGGAGCCTGTGCCCTTTCCCCCAGAGGGCCTGTGTATTGGCTTTATGTAACCACACTAACTGCCCACAGAGGACAGGGGGTGGCCGGGCTGGTGCCAGCCACCACCTTGGTCCCTGTGATTTGAAGGCCAGGGCTGCACTTCCCTTTATTTATTCCCTGTTCAGTATCCAGCCTGCAAGCTTTCCTGAAGTCTGCAGTCCTGTGTGTGTGTGTGTGCGCGTGCATGTATGTGTGGGGCAGGTGAGGGGCTGTCCAAGTCACACCCTCTGGTTTGTGCAGCTCAGACTGGGAGGAGCCCCATCCCTGCAGAGTCCCTGTAGCCCAGAGCTGGTGGGACCGGTGCCCCTCAGACGCTCCTCTTTATTTTAGTGCCCCTCTCGGCTGAGGAGGAAGTCCGAGCAGCGGTGGGGCACCTGAGCCCAGGATGGCGAGCAGGAGAGTGCCTGGCGGAGTGGCACGTGCAGCCCAGGACTCCCGGCTCCCACTTCCTGCTTTAGGTGCGGCCCTGCTCCCTCCACGGCCCATCACCGCCCTGGGTCCAGCTGGCCAGGATGGGCCCAGCGGCCCCCTGGACATAGCATGCCCACTGGGCCGACTCCAGCACCCGGGGGCCATCTCCTCATTCAGCATCCCCACCCCTGTGAGCAAGAGCCTTGCCCCTGTCTGGGGCTGGCAGGGATTGGCCGGGGCTGCAGTCCCACCCTCCCCAAGAAGAATAGCCCACCCCGTACTGCGTGCCATTCCTTGGGGCTCATCCCTATGGGGCCTGGAGCAGAGGCCACTGGGCTCTTGTTTGGGTTCTTCTTCCCACTCTGGGGCATTGATGAGATGGAGAAGCTTCTGTGGAGAGAAATGGCCAAGAACTGTACCTGGTGGGTGGGGTTGGGACAGAGTGACCTGGTCACAATTCTAGTCAGAACCTGGGCTGTTGGAGGCCTGGCCAGTCCATGGGAGGTGGGAGGCAGGTGGTTGGGGGGGACGGTGCCTGTGTGCCTTGAACATGGAGCCCTGCTGGGGAACTGGGACAAAGGTATGCCTCAGGGCCAGGGGTTGCAGGTGTGAGCTGAGCTGCTGGGGGGCTCAGGCCTGCAGGAAAGAGGCCTTGGCCACTGGCTGTAGGAAGGCTGTGGTTCAGGGAAGGGCTGAGGCTGGGCTTGGCCTGGGGGTGGTGGGTGTGGCCTGAGCCCGGAACTCCACCAGGCAGCACCTAGGCTTGGGACAGTCACCAATCACCTCCTCCCTCTTCCCACAGTCCAGGGCCAAGGCTTGTGTTCAACCGAGTGAATGGCCGGCGGCCCCCTACCACATCCCCATCCACCGGGGCGACCCAGGAGACCTACACACTGGCCCACGAAGAGAATGTCCGCTTTGTGTCCGAAGGTAGTTTGGAGGCTCGAGGTTACGGCCTGGGCCACTGTTCCTCTTCCCCACTGTAACCTGACTTGCAGCTGTGAGAGCGCTGGGTTCTTCCTTGGCTTTCAACTTGTTTGTCCTGCGACAGTCCAGAAGGCTGCCTACTTCCACTTCTGGGCTGTGGTCCAGAGTGGCCACCAGGCCCTGGGGGCGGGGGGAGACAGGGTTCCAGGGACCTGGTTCAGCCTGACTGTCCTCTCCCTACAGCCTGGCAGCAAGTGGAGCAGCAGCTGGGTGGTGGCCCAGCCGGTGAGAGCAGTCCGAGGCCTGTGCAGTATGTCGAGAGGACCCCCAACCCCAGACTGCAAAGTGAGCCCTCCCCCATCCTCAGGGAGACCCCTCCACTCCCTGCCATAGTGACCTGGGCCCTGCCAGGTTCTAGTCCCAGGGCATAGCCGAGGGGACTTGAACCTGACCCACATCTTCACAGTTGCCTGCCGCATTTGGGGTCTGAGTGAGGGGCTTGTGGTCAGCTTGAGGGGGAGAGATGCTGACAGGTTGGGAGGCGACATCACTGCCCAGCCTTCTGCTCTGCCCACAGACTTCGTGCCCATTGACCTGGATGAGTGGTGGGCACAGCAGTTCCTGGCCAGAATCACTAACTGCTCCTAGCCGCCGCTTTGGAAGGAACGTCGCCTGCACGGGCCTGGCCCTGCCACATGGCAGACCCTCTGCTAGGAGAAGACCACGTGTACCCACTGCAGCAGGTCGTGCATCCCTCTGGGCCAGGCTGGACGCCAGCCACACCTGAAGTGCCAGCATTTGGACTTTTGTACCTTCTGACCCCTTGGCCCAGCTGTGCCAGGCTGCCAGGGGCTGAACCTGTCTGACCTCAATCCTGCTCACGGTGCCTGGGGACCAGCCCCTGGGGCTGGTATGGCAGAGCTCCAGGTTAATAAAGTCAAGAAACTGCCTTTTCAGCGTGGTCTTTATTTGGTGTGTGGCGGGTAGAAGGGGTCTTCTCAACTCAGCATAGCTGCTCTCCTGGGTCCTGCCAGAGGTGCTGGGGCCAGCTCATCTTCCTTGGGCGTCTGTGAACCTCACCCTGCCCCCCCGGCACCCACTCCTGCTCCCTCTCCCTGTTGGTGTTGGCAGGTGCCTGAGCCCAGCTTGGAGGCCCATCAATGTTCTGTAACTGGATCTGGGATGGGGTCCCAGGGTCCCCGGATTGGGGCCAGGGCTCAGGATCCCTGGTCCTCTCTCCCAGACTTGGCGTGGGACAGTGGAGGAAGGTGTCCCACAGGTTTTGGGGGAACCCTGGCAGATGACTATGGGAGCTGGGGTTGCTCAGCCCTCGGGTCTTGTGGGACACTGTTAGCCTGTTGGGCAGGTGACCTCACGGCTGACAGGATGAAGTGGGAGTACCCAGGTGTGCACGCTCCCTCCAGAGGGCTGGGCTGTCAGTGGGTGTGGGCCGCTCCTGGGGGTGGGTGTCATTCTGGAAATGGAGATGGACCCCAGAACGAGTCAGGAACCTCCCTGGATCCCATAGCTGGTGGTGCTAGAGCCCCCCTATTGGGTCGTGGCTTGAGAGTGCCCGCAGGGATCTGGGACAAAGGCTCCTATCCCAGGTTGCGACAGCGAAAGGGTGGCTGGAGCAGGCTGGGCAGGGTCTTGGGGGGCCCCCAAGAGACCTTACCACGAACCCAGCGCTGTTGAGGTGGGGATTGCAGCCCGAGATCACGTGGTCCAGAAGGCGGAAGTGACGCCGTTGCCAGGCGGCCGTTGCTAGGCGCGCGCTGCGTGCCCTGCGTGGGGCGCGCGGCGGCCGAGGCGGGAAGTGCAAGCGCAGTGCAAGCGGCTGCGCCATGGCGCGAGGTAGGCTCGCGGCCCGCAGACCCGGGTGGGGGGGCGAGCGGTCCGGGGTCCTGAGTGGGGGGCGGGCAGGGTCCGGTGGCCGGTGCGCACTGAGCCTGCGGCCTGGCTTCGTCAGCGCCAATCGCAGGCCCTTGGGCGGGTTGGTGCCGATCCTGGGCCCGAACCCAGTACTCGCACTTTGATTGCTGTCACTACTGGGGAGCGTGAAGACCCAGACCCCGGCCCCTCCCTGGGTCCGGCACCTGGGGCAGGTCCCCACACACCTCCCTGTCCCCCCAGTGTGGCAGCACCCATTCCTCAACGTCTTCAGACAGTTCAAGGTGGACGAGTGGAAGCGGTCCACTAAGGAGGGTGACGTGGCCACAGTGATGGTAAGGGAGCCAGAAGGCCTGGCAGCAGGCCGGGTGGGGTCCTCTTCTCTGCCTGGACACATGCGGGCAGGGCAGCGCCTCTCCTGGTGCTCCCTGGCTCTGTGGTGCACACTCCCATCTCTTTCTCCAGGACAAGACCCTAAAGTGCACTGTGTATCGCATTAGAGGCACTGTCTCCGCCAGCAATTACATCCAGCTCCCCAAAACCAGCGCGCAGTCCCTGGGGCTGACAGGACGATACCTGTACTTGCTTTTCCGACCCCTGTCCACCAAGCACTTCGTCATCCACCTGGACTTGTCCACTGAGGTGCTGAGCTTGAGAGCAGGGTCTGTGGTGGAGGCTCTGCACCCCCGGTGCCACCTCTTGTCTCCTTACAGCCACCTTTGTCCCTGCAGGACAGGCAGGTCATCCGTGTATCCCTTTCCAACCTCTTCAAGGAATTCAAGTCTACAGCCACGTGGCTTCAGTTCCCCTTTATTTGTGAAGGGACGTCCAGGAAAGGTGACACAGAGATGGGACGTCCGGGAGAGACAGCCTGAGGGCGGACTGGGAAGTAGGGCAGGCCCAGGCGCAGGATCCAGGAAAGGTGACACAGAGATGGGACGTGAATGGGACAGTGATAGTCCGGGAGAGACAGCCAGAGGGCGGACTGGGAAGTAGGGCAGGCCCAGGCGCAGGCGGGGCAGGCCCAGTCGGGCTCCTTAGTGGCCTGGAGTGGGGCAGCCTGCGTGGGGGGCACATGGTTTTGGCCATGGGGATGGGGTCAGGCCAAGGACAGAAGGCACTGTGGGCTGGCTGGTGAGAGGATGGGCACTGTTGACCTTGGTTTGCCTTCTGCAGACCTGGCAGGTGCGGCTCCCCCTGGTGCCCGCTGGACCTGCCTGCAGCTGGACCTGCACGACATCCTCCTTGTCTACCTGAACCGGCGCTACAGCCATCTCAAGAGCGTCCGGCTGTGTGCCAGCCTGCTGGTCCGAAACCTCTACACCAGCGATCTGTGCTTCGACCCAGGTGAGGGCTGTGCCCCACGCCCTGCACTTAGCCTACCGGTGGGCTGCTCCAAACCCATCCCTCTCCCGGGATTCTCTGCCCAGGAGAGGCCTTGGCACTTGGCGAAGGTGCCCTTGCTGCCCTAGCTCCCAAGACACTGGTGGGAGGAGGCGGTGGCTGGGCAGATGTTCAGGCGATACTCTGCAAGCACCTGGTGTGCTGAGGCTCGCCTGGGCTGGGAGAGGTTGCTGGCCGGGCTTCCTTAGACCTGGAGCACTCTGCTCTTTGTAGCTGTCACTGTCGCCGAGGCCCGGCGGGCAAAGCTGCCCGTCACCCCCATGCCTCGAGAAATGGCGTTTCCAGTGCCAAAGGGGGAGAACTGGCACGACCACTACATTCACATCCGGTGAGCAGTTCTGCCTGTCCCAGGGCGGCTGGCAGGGGAGGGCAGGGTGGCCCCTGTGCTGATTCTCCCTCTGCCCCACTGAGGTTTCCAAGCAACAGCCCAGCAGCGCCCTCCAAGCTGGTCCAGAGGAACTGCTCCCCTCCTGAGGCAGGTGGGCCTGTGGGCGTGCAGAGCTCGGCGGGAGATGGGGTCCCGGCATGGTGTCTGGGTGGTGAACTCCGGTGTGGTGCCTGCAAGGGCCTGGGCTAGCCTGGAGGTCATCCCGCGGTCCCAGATTCATTTGGGAGGCTGCGTGGAGGGTGCCTGGGGGCCTCGAGCTCTCCAGATGGGAAGGGTGCCGGAGCCTGGGGGCAGTGGCGGGCTGCGGCTGACGAGGTGGCTTCTCTCTCTGCTGCCCTGCCCGGTGCCTTCTGCCACATCCTTCTCAGGCCTCTTCACTCTGCTCAGTGGGTTCTGCCCTTTGCTTCATTGCAGGCTTCCCGAGACATGTACCACAGCTTCTCCCTCGCCCAGGGCCCTTCAGCAAGTCCAGGCTGGACAGCGTGTCCCCTGTGGTTCAGACGCTTGGCCCCACAGCTGTGAGTGCCTGTGCCCTTAGAGATGGGGCTAAGGAAGGTAGCCCCAGGGTCTGGCGGACACTGTCCCCCCCACAGTCCAGGCAGGCCTCCTTGAGGCTCCTTCCAGAGGATGGCCTGTCCTCTGAATGCTCAGAAGTCTCCATCGTGGGTGGCTCCGGGGTCGATAGACGAGAGCCCCCGGCCAGCGCGAAGGCCACGGACAAGCGTGCTGCTGGCAGTGGCCCTCCGGTGTCTGCTTGTAAGTTGGCTGTGGTGCCCCCAGCCCCAGAGGATGCGACCAAGCATGAGGTGAGTGCATGCCTTGAGGAAGGCAGGGGAGTCTAAGCCATAGAGGTGGGAGGGGCCTTGGTGAGGTGTGGGTAGGGGGATCTTGGGCCTTGGCTCACCACCAGCCATGCTTGGGCAGTTGGGCCTCTGAGGGTCCCTTCTCATCAGCCCCCTGGCAGAAAGCAGAGTAGGCAGGAAGCAGCTTTGGGCAAAAATTTATTTCAAAGAGTAAGGAGGGTCTGGTGCCCGGCTCCCAACTCCCAGCCCCAGGAGCCTCGGGGGCAGCAGCGGGAGGGTCTGGCAGTGTGGCCGGAATCCCGACTTCCTGCCACAGAGCAGTCAAAAGCAGCCCCCCAGTCCTAAGCAGCTTGTTGGGAGGCAGGAACCAGCCCAGGTGGGCAGCCCTGGCTGGACCGGGTCTTGCTTTCTGGGGTCTCACAGTGAGTTTGCCTGTTTCAGAGCTTCCTGCCAGATCCGGTCCTGAGGCTCAAGAGAGTCATTGGCCTTGGGGGCCACAGCACTAAATGGGTGAGGGGTCCCATGCTCTCGTTGGGTTGGACAAGTGTCAGAGGAAAGGCCTTATGTCCCCTGAGGTTGCTGTGTGCATTCCCTTCTTGCTCACGTCCGCACGGTGGCTCAGTGCTTCCTCAGTGACCGTCACTCACAGGCCCCCTTTGTTCGCACGAGTGCCGGCTGGTCAGTGTTGGTCTAAGTGTTTGAGCTTCCAGAGACCAGAGAGCTCTTACCCTCTAAAGCTTTGATGCAGCCGCGTGGGGCTGGTGTGGGCATGACTTGTGGGTCCCTGTGGGGTGTGGTCGGGGACAGTGGGAGAGGAGGCCCTGGCTTGTCAGGCCCTCCTGGACACAAGCTCCAAGTCTTTGTCGTCTCTCTGGTTTTTCATGGCCTGAACTCCAAAGTTTCCTGCATTGCAGACAGGGCTCAGAGAAAACTGTGTGTGTGTGTGTGTGTGTGTGTGCGCGCGCCTGCACGTGTATTCATGTGTCTGTAAGTCTCCTATTTCTTTGCTGTGTGCATCCCGTTGACTCCTGTGCACATTATGTGGGGAAAGGTATGCCAGGGTGGGGAGGCGAGGCCCACCAGCCTGCGATCTCAGCCTCCGACCCCCGTGCACAGGCCCTGTGGACCAAGGATGGGGCTGCTGTCGTGTACCCCTGCCACGCGATCATTGTGGTCCTGTGCATTGACACCCGGGAGCAGTGCTTCTTCCTCGGCCACACAGACAAGGTGGGTACCGCCTGGCCCAGGGGTGGCCTGCACCCAAAGGCTGCACCACTTCCCTCAACCTGCCACCTCCCCAGGTCTCTGCCCTGGCACTGGATGGGAGCAACTCTCTGCTGGCCTCAGCCCAGGCACACCCCCACAGCATGCTGCGTCTCTGGGACTTCCAGACCAGGAGCTGCTTGTCCCTGTTCCGGAGCCCTGTCCACACCGTCTGCTCCCTCAGGTGAGTGAGGGGCCGCTGAGGTGGGTGGGGGCAGCCCTGGTGACACTGACTGTCTCTTCCACGTCCACAGCTTCTCCGACAGTGGGGCACTACTCTGCTGCATTGGCAAGGACCGCCATGGGAAGATGGTAACAGGGCGGGCCGAGGAAGCGGGGCAATGTCCAAGTCACTCAGGAAGCACCTTCCCCCGCTGGCCTTCCCCGGCCCCGCAGGGGGCCTCCCACACACTGCAGAGTATCTTGTGTTTTACACCCCTTGTGGGTGGAGCCAACTTTTATTTTATATATTTTTA